ATACTATTTGTGCTTGGCTCACAATGACTTTTTAAAAGTAAACTATTTTACATTGCAGGAATTACCTCTTCTTATTTAGCCTCATTTGTCAATGGCACCACATCTTCCTGTAGAGTAGTGGGTCTCTTCCTTGTTATGCTATTATTTGAATGCTCATACAATGCAGTTTCATGCATCTTGCTGGTCACATCCCATTTCTGTGTCTCGATTTCTTGATTCTCTGGAGGCTCATGATATACCTTTAGACATGTCATTAATTGATTCCTGTAAAATTCCCTTCTGAGTCTTTGGTTAAGGCTCCCATGTTAACAAAAGATATTTCTCAGCATACAGCCTGTGATCATCTGCAGTGGCATAGTTTGTGCTTGTACTTTTGGTATCTGCCCTTTGAAAAACTGCTATCACCATGTCTTTACTAGTCATTTTTTCCTTCTCCTTTATATGAAACCAGTCATTTTATATGAAATGCCAATTGCTTTGTATAAAGTCTTGTGAAATAGATTGATCCAGTCTTTTTTTTCCCTTAATGTTCATCTCAGCCCACAACCAGCCAATGCTCACTCGTTCCATAGCACACTGTAAGACCAGGGACAGGACATTTGCAATAGCATAAAGGAATTGGGTACATTACTCCTAATTGAACCAAAAGTCAGTGGGAACCAGGAGCCTAAGCCTCTGTTACGCCTTTAAAGAACTCATAGCATTTACTTATTAGCTGCATTTCCCACCCCAGGGATGAGTACAGGGCTGAGGTGGAACTGTCATATGAAAGGACTATTTCCAGGAGCAGGAAAGCTGGTAGGTCACAGCTTAGGCAATGTGCTTGAACTCTCATGATCTTCCACACAACAAATAATCTGACACGTTTTGCTACCATGTTTAGCCTGATTCATTTCCCATACCTTCAGATCCAGCCATCAGCTGCAGGTAACTTAAAGCAGAGTAAGGACATGTGTATGCACAAAGAATTCCGTAAGTTCAGAAATACATCCGAAAATGAGAAGCCAAGAACAGAGGGAGGTCTCATGTAGTTACAGATATTATATATGTGAAACAAGTTATCTATTTCATTTTCATGACATCTCCTATGGCACAGAAGTAAGTTCCAGCTCATCTCTACTGACATGCTGCTTGATTTTCAAGAACATCAGTGAAACCAACAGCTGAGCCAAACTTGTTCAGCAGTGTGACAGAGCACCAAGCAATGGCTTTAAGGAACTGGACAGTTGTGGGGCTTAAGCATTAAAGCCTTATTATCAACCCATCGAAATGAGAGAACTGTAACATTGAAGGTAGTTAAGAGTGGATCCTGCAGTTGGTCAGTTTGTCCAGAGTTCATTCAGTGGAGATGGCAGTGACTAACACTGAAGGACAATCTAAAAAGCACATCAAATCCAGAAAGCAGGTAAGTCACCACTGAGCAAAGCTGTTGCAATACACTGAGATAGGAAACCTGACATATTCCAAACCTACAGTATTCTCATATGAAGAATACTGTGAAACAGAGCTGGGGGCTGCTCAGCCTGGAGAAGAGAAGGCTCTATGGTGACCTGACAGTGGCCTTCTAGTATCTAAAGGTGAGCTATAGGAAAGAAGACAGACTTTTCTAGCAGGGTCAGGAAAAGGGGAAATGGCTTCAGACATGAAAAGGTTAGATTTAGGTTGAATATAAGGAAGATATCTTTTACAGTGAGAGTAGTGAGGCACTGGAACAGGTTGCCCAGGGCTGTGGCGGATGCCCCATCTCTGGAAACTTCCAACACGGGGCTGGGCCAGCCAGGCTCTGAGTGATGTGATTGAGCTGTGGATGTCTCTATTCATTGCAAGGGAGTGGAACTAGATGACCTTTAAAGTTCCCTTCCAACTCTAAGATTCTAGTATTCTATGAACTATTTTTAATTACACAGAAATATTTTATAGACATATTAGTGTTTGAAAAAGATTAGAGGGAAAAACGAAAATGTGTACAGAGATAAAAGCGTTCTATAGTAGAAAAGTGAGGAAACCCACAAAAAGATACTTGTTCAATTGAAAATAACAAATATATGAACTGAGTGATTCACCATCAAAGCTCACAGCACCACTAGGTTTGTGTATTACTGACATGAAGACCAACAGTCTCATGACTGAAGAGTAACAAATTAAGACGTGGTAATCCACGTTTCTTGGTCACTGAAGATAAATAGAATTTGAACAATGGAAAAAAAATCAAACTAAAGTGTATTTAGAGTGTGTATTCTTCAGTGTCATTACTTATTATCCATTGAAATGCACATAATGAAAAATTTCAGTTGTTCATGTGTCTTTATAACAATCCTTTGGTCCAAGACAAAATTAGTTATCATTTTCTTTCCCCTCAACTAGAATGTGTATTACCATTTGGTATGGGTTGGTTTTTTTTTTTTTTTTTTTTTTTTTGATAAACAAAAAAAATTTTTTTCTGTAGGATTCTTATCAAAAGCATCATCAGTGCCTCCTTTGGTGATGTGCTACCAGAAACCAGATTAGATTCGAACATACGCCATGCTACCATCTTCCAAGTGAAATACACAACACTTTCCCACGCACACTATCAAAAGGTCTACAAGAGAAGCTACTAATTTGTTGTTCTATATAGACTTTCAGTGCAAATGACCTACTTTGGAACTCAACAACACTGTTGACATCTTCACAGGAAGTTCTTTCTCTTTCCAGCCAAAGAAAGCCATCGAGTGACAGCCATCAGTCAACTGGGAAGGACCAGTGATAAACACAAAGACAAGAGATGCCTGATTGAAGTGGGCAATGTGCTAATCTTGTCATCACACTTAAAGCCCCTGCTACTATACTGCTTGCCATTAATAGAGCAAAAGAGCATTTAACTATCGAATGGAAAATTCTGTCATCGTGTGTCTAAAGCCACCTTCAGGGATTCCCACAGCAATGCTATGCAGAGACAGAGAATGAAGAAAGAATGCCAGCATAAACTCTGAGAATGTGTTTGTAATATTTCACATATACGTATGAAGATTAGATCACACATTTACTTTTTTTTTTTCCCAACTACAAAAGACAACATCCCAAATACACAGCTACCCAAGCATAAAACAGAAACTGCTGACTCGTATGAAAACAAAAACTCTCACAAACAAAACAGTATGGTTATGGTTGAATGCCCGATGTTCCTATTACATTGGCAACTGCTGGCGCTGCTATCTAATTATACCCCGTTTTAGTTCTGAGCAGAATTTGACTGAGCTCTGTCTTCACGCATCCAGCGAAGTCACCGGATTTCTTGGAAATAATTGCCTAAGTTTTTCATTTGGTACAACTGGCTCTTCCTCTGAACTTCAGTCAAACTTGTGCAGGGTGTTTTTTGCTCTCATGCTACTACAGCTACAGACTCAATGGCAACTCCTGAAAATGCTGGGTTAATATGACATGCGCTAAATTCTGTATGCTGTTTTTAAACTACAATGTTTGCTTCATTATTAATTCTCATTTTACAATCCCAGATATTGACAGGTTCACATATATGTAAACATCCATTCAACCGTTGTAATATCAGGAGAGATTAGATGAACGTATTAATGAGTTTAATTATGTTTTACTGTAATGATGTAACAAACAGAATTTATGTTACAATTTATTTTAGAAAGCGCTAGATAGATAAAAACAAAGGTCAAAAGTCACAGTGGATAATAGCTGATGGTTTTGATAATGCTAATTATGTATTACTAGAGAATAAAGGTAGAAAGGGAAATACGAGCATTAAAAGAAAGATAAACATCCCAATGCTGAATTTGAAATGAAAAAAAAGAGAAAACTTTAAATGTCTTTGTAGCTCACTGTCAGAAACCAAAGACATAATGAAGCCTGAATTAAAAATGTCAGTTTCTGTGAATGTTGATAACTTGGTTCTTTGTTGTACAAGTCAAAATGTGTCTGTTTGATGGGTTAAAATGACAGTCTGCAAATGGGAGAAGCTAGAGCTAAAAAAAGAAGACCCCCCCACTTCCCAAAAGACTTATAAAAAGTAGGCCCGTAATGCAGTACTTTAAGGAGAAGACCTGTAGGGTAGAAGAGCCAGTATCTTTAGGAAGTAACCAAGCAGCACTAAAAGGCAATGTCCATGGCCAATCAAAACTATTTCTCTAGCTGCTGGGGCTCTTGCATCTCTGTCTTCACACTAGACTGGAAACCCTTTGTACTAATTGCCAGACTGTACCAGATTTTCTGGTTCAGTTCCATCCCATAATTGACTGACAATGATGGGCAAGGAAGGGGAAAAAATTCAGGCTCACCACTGCAAGCAGAGGGTCAGAAATGGTTTCATAGGGAGCACATCACTGCTTGGCACTAAATGCAGGGTTAAGCAAGCATCATCTGTACTTTCTTCTAATTCCTGGGTTAAAAGGGGGATGGGAAAAACATTCGCACTGCAGAAGGGAAAAGATATGCTGAGAGCTGGCAAACATCTGCAAAAATCTTCCAGAGAGAAAGGGAAACACGCAGAGGATTTTTTGGAAGCTGGTCACTCATTATTGAGATGTCAGCCCATTACTTACGTTAAAATAACTAAATCAGGGTTGTGGAATTTGTTACTCCATAAAAGCAAACAACCTCCCACATTTACAGTAAGCAGGAAAGTATTTGCTTATAAAGTCACTCTTCCAAGCAATTCAAATAATTCGCAGTCTTATGATCCAAACAGAAAATAATTTGTCAATAAAAAGGTAGGAATGCTTTAAGATAAAATGCATACATTAAAGTTCAGGATTTAACAATACATTTTTATGTTTATAAATCAATATTTGCTGTGCATCTAATCTACACTGCAGCTTAAACATTTGCATGCTGATTGCTACAGGATCTTTCACTTATAATTATTAAAGTTGAATTCATTTAAAAACCTTAGAAAACCTTGAAGACGGAAACAGCACAAATTCTTTTAGAAACTGGACTACTGACAGCATCTTTCTGATGTGAATCTTATTTACCCTCAGTTGTTCTCCACCTACTTCATTCCATGCAGCACCCCCAGAAGCATTTCCACAAAGCATTAAGACAGTTCTGAGACCAAAAGAATGAGAAAAAGAAAGTGAGAAAGAGGAAGAGAGAAACTAAAAGAGAAAACAATCCAGTGCATAGCAGTTCAAAAGCACGTAAGCGTCTGCGCTGTGCCTGCCCTGGAAATACCATGCTCACAGGTCAAACACTTTCCCCTTCACCCTTAAGCTGCCTTTGGAGCATATGCATTTGCAGAATACCTGCTCCCGAAACACCTCATTTTGCAGGTAACGCACTCCTTACTTCAGTAGTTAGTTACAATTTCGTTTCTTCAAGATGAAAAGCACATTTCATTCAAATCCATCCCCTCTAACCCCACCACCTCTCGCTCCAAGAACGGTTATTTTCCCTGTTAGCAAGGAACCTGCTCCCCTTGCTCACCCTCTGCAAAAGCTCCAAATGAGCAGTAAGCTGCAAAGTTTCAGAACTAGGCCAGTAAAGTTAGCATCCTAAAGCACAGACAGCAGAGGACTTAGGCAAAAGCTTACCTTTCAAACCCAGAACAGAGCTGCCTTTTATGAGGCCTATACGGCTGTCAAGTCCTGGGACTTTCTCAAACACAGTACCCACACAGGTGAATTCAAATAGGTGGTAAACACCTGAGAACTGGACAAGAAGACTATAAGAAAAAAGAAAGCAAATGAGTAAAATGCCTTCCCAGAGCCACAGTCAGCTCTTGTGCATGGGGAGTTACGAATGCACTGGCTATAGACTTTTGTCCAAAGCTGTAGTTTTTTTTTTTTTTTTTTTTTTTAGTGAAGCTAGATTAGTTCATACAAAACTCAACAATACAGCACTGAAACCCATTGTTGATATTCAACATTTTTCACATAGCGGAACAGAATAGACAATACGGTATCTAGGAAACCATGGGCTGGATTACAAACTGATGATATCTCATCCTTCTGGAGGGCCTGTAATCCTTTTTATTACCTACCACAGAAGGGGGGAAGAAAACCCCAAACAAAACACCACAGCATAAACCACCCCGTATCAGTAATGTTTGAACTCTTTTCATAAATAAATGAATTAAAGCTTTCTCTTACTTCTGTTCTAAGCTTGCCCTCCCCACTGCAATATGCATACATAATGAAATAGATGTCTTTCATGCCACTTAAATAACAGTTAAATCGCCGAGCGTTTGTGCTGCCCTGCGCCATCAGGCTTGTTTTAAAAACAACTTTCACATTACATGTTTAAAAACAGCTCTACATCTAGCCTCATTTCTTTTTTTTTAGTAACATTTTGCAACTTGACAGCGTATCTCCTATTCTGCAACAAGCTGTATTTTCCTTCACACACGTTTCTAACTGCAGTTACTGCTGGGCGTACAACGATATCTGAAATAATTTCGATTTTTTTGGCTGAAGTTTTACAAAATATTCATCCATCCTCAGAGCAACGTTTAAAAATCCCCTGTACTCACACATCAGCCCTCAACACACGGTTTAAAGGTCCTTCCATGCACACTGAGCCTTGCTCTGGTTCTGCAGCACTTACACGCTGTGTGCACACAAAACAAACACAGTATTTCAGCGATGCATTTATCCCCACACAGCTTATTTTTTACTTTCCAACCTCGTTCCACTTCTACAGACTCCAGTTCCCATATTTTCCTTAAAACCCCAAATAGTCTAGGTAGCCACAGAAGTGATTGTTCCTACCAGTTTCTTTTCATCACTTCTGCAATTGACCAATTGACAACTGATTGATGGTTATCTTTTCACTTCCACAATGAAAGAAATTACCATCACTATAGCTATGTACAGTAAATGCCTCCAGAGTAAATTACATGATTCTAAAATTCTCCTTAGCTCACTTAGTAAAACATCAACACAAAAAGTTTCTTTTTTGCCTCTCTTCCTGTACTGCAGATTTGGCCTTTCCTGTCAGCTTCAGAAAAGAACTTGACAGCTTCTTTAAAAAGAGGAGTATAAAAGAACTTGAATAAGGGATGGCACAGGGCCGGGCTAAGGCTCCCATTCTCTGCAAGTGGCTATTCTTTGCACTGAAAAAAAAATTAGGCATGTGAGCACAGATAAGCCACATAAGAATACCCCAAAGAATATTCCCAGTGACCTTGAGATTCTGCTGCAATTCCGTAACCATTCTCTGCTGGAACAGCTTCATGAATTCTGAACTCTTGAATGACTAACTTATTTCCAGAATGTGTAATTTATTCCTTCTGGGGGAAAAACACTCCCACAAAATTAGGAGGGAAAAGCATTTGTCACTACAAAATAAAATAAATTTGTGCTTGTATTTTTGAAATAGTTGAAGTGCATTAACAGGAGCTTGGCTCCATTCCACAGCTGGTTTTAGTGATGTTGAGATGGAAAAGAGAGGCCATTCTGCCTAAAAGCAAAACCCTCTTACTTCTATCAGAATTTCTAGCTCCTGCATGGAAAGATACTGAAAACTTTTGATTGCTGTACAATTAAGTGCAGTTTTCAGAGCATTAAATGTAGTGCTGAGAAAGACAGAATCACTCATGGGTTTTTGTTCCTTCTTGGAAAGTACTTTAAAATTGAAAAAAAAAAAAAAAAAAAAAAAAAAAGATTCATTATTTCTTATTATTTAAATAAACACTAAAAGAGAAATCTAGCTCTGTTTTGGTGTTGCTGAAAGTTTTTGTGGTGCCACAGAAGTTTATTTAGCAATCCACAATACCACAATCGGCAGATCCTCTCCAGTTCCACTTCTGTCTTTGAAAATTTGTATTGTTTTCTGAAAGTCATCCATACCCCGGCTTTTAAATACAAGCCTCCCTGTGTTTTGGTTACAAACAAGCAGCAGGGCCAGCTAATCTTCAAGTCCTCTTCACTCATTTATTCATGAAAGAAGTTTCCAAGCAATTTAGGTAATGCTGGTCAGATGCATCCATCCTAAAAAGATGCACCCACCCCGGAGGACACTTTCCTCAGTATCAGATGTTGGTAATGTCAGATCTGAACAGACGGTCACATTGCACAGCAAATGCTTTTCCAAATTTTCAATTTGTTTTATCCCTCTGAGCCTTCTGGCTGCACTTCTGGATATCACTGCCCTGTTTTAGTATTCAAAAGAGATGGACAGAAAAAAATCGGAACAGATTTGTTCTAACTAGACAAAATGAGGACACCTGCTATTAATGTATAGAAGATTTGAAAAAAGAAAACAGAATAAGAAGGAAATACACTGGTGATAATTTCTAGCTGATTTAAAATCGCACTTTAAACAGCTAACCACAATTGTAATACAAATTTGTGCTGGGAAGAACTGCAACCAAATGCACACACAACTGTCTTAAAATTCACTCTGTCAGATTCGTAATGTTTTCTAAGGTGTACCTTCACCCTGTTCTTGAAAATTCCTCACAGCAACATTTCAAACACTGAAAAATGGCTCTGTTAATCATTATGGGACAAATACCCCAAGCAGTTACTTGCAGCACTCATTGAGAAATGAGTATAAAATCTAATACTTTTGAAATAATATAGCATTCCTCCCAGCAAGAAATCAGTTTCATCTTTATGTATCACTAAGCTAATTTCTTGCTGGAAAGAAGCTATATTATTTCAAAAGCGAGAGATCAGTTTAGTGATGCAAAAAGATGAAACTGATTTTGCCACAGAAAACTTGCAGCTGTAGTCTCTCAATGCTGCTGTGCGCTGTTACCAACATGTCCTTAAGCTTAGCTTCTTAACCTGAATATTGGTTTGAAAATGTAAACAAGAAAAAAGTAATCAAACACAATTTTAACTTTTGTAAGAATGATTCCCATTTCTTTTTAACAAAAAGACCTATTTCAAACCATCTTGAAAGACATCACTAGATGTCAAGACGACAGCTTTCTGATGCATGACATGGGTTACTCACTTGAAGGTGAGAGGAAATCTGAAGAGCAACCTTCAAATCTGTCTGTCATAGCTCCTTCCCAGGAGAGGTGAAGGAGATGACAAGGACTACATACACAAAATCACCTCTTGTTTCTTTCTGTTGTCTCTGGGTGCAAGCTTTTAAGCATTTGTATAATATAGGATGCCTGCCTTTTTGTTAGTGAGCATTCATAATAAGTACTCCACAACATAACAGGCGTTTTGAATAGAAGCCAGAAAACCATCTATCACCTCTGTTTTATTTTGGAATGTCTCATTTGGTTTATGGTTGATATGAAGTATATGCATCCTACAAAACACTGAATGCTTATATACAAACTAAATATGTAATGTTTTAGCACCAAATCTGGGGAAAAAAAAATAAGCAAAACCAAACCTGACTATTTATTATGGCAAAATGTAGTTTGGGTTTAATTCAGTCAATTCAAGGGCTTGGTCACTTCCAAGAGTCCTTGTGCAGAGAAGTGCCGCAAGAATAGCAAATACTTTAACTGATTCTTTGTGGAGTAGATAGGTAACTTGTACAATGACTGCTCCAAGTAGCATTCAAGTGAACTATTTTATGTCAAAACGATAAATGTACACAACAGAGCTTTCCATAAAGGGTGCCAAAACAAAAAAGGCCTTGAGAAGCCAAGGTACCACCTTCTGAAAATGCTTTTTTTTTTAAAATAAACAATAGTATAGATGATTCTGTTAAACAATTTTATTAACACCCATCAATTTGATTTTAAAAAGTTTTACAGTCATTGGCTCAACTGTGACACACTAATGAAAAGATTTTCAATGTAGGAAAGCTTATGAACTACAGACTGCAGTCGCAACTCTATTATTTTAATATGAACTAAAATTGTAATCATACTGTAGTACTAACAAGTCAATATACGTTTAAATTCCCTTTTCCCTCTCACTATCTCCATCTAACCAGCTACCAGGTGTGTTTGCACTGCGCTGTGTTTGAGAGCACAAACAAGGAGAACATGTGTAGCAAGGACTTCACAATGACAACTATCACTGGAGAGAGAAGGAACGTCCTCTGGTCTGCTGCAGCTTGATTAAAAATATAACAGCATGTTGCTTTGCCTGCTTTCAGGGAAGGAGCCACTGCAGTTTCACGTAACAGTCCCTACTTGCTCAAAGAGCTTAAAAACAGGTCTTAAAGACAGTCTTTCCTCCACAGATGTCAAGTCAAGGATGACATAGCAAGGGGTTGTTAGTTCAGTGTATTATTCGCTGGCATTGATTGTTAAGAAGTTGAGACATAGGTTTGTGAGAGGACAAAAGTATTTAGAACTTCAGTTCAGAATCTACAGCGTGCCTTTACGGAAGAGCAACAGTTGCAACCACAAGCCCTAAACGGTTCATTTTTGAATGCCATGTATGACATCCACCAGAAAACACAAAAGGAGAGCACTGAATTTGACAGTGCACCCTACAAAGGTGCCCATGAGGTACTGAGCTCTGAGCTGCAACAACCTCAACACCTGACTGCTGATGCTTTGTTCTGGGGAGTAACCTATACAAAACAAACAAGACCAAGACAGCATGCATTCCAACTTCAGAATGAACCTCCTGATGAGGGACAGGATGTCTCTGATGTACAAAAAGATGAGGAACTTCAATGTATTGAAGCAGAAAACTTGAGCACGCTCAACCTAACTTCTGAAACTCAAAAGCAAGGACAAGATCATACGAGCTCCAGGACTTAGGACATCCATAGTGAGGAGGAGTGTTTCAATGTGTCACTGCAGATAGAATTACTGAGCATTTTGCCTATAATCACCATGTACCACAGGGAGAGGCAATCTAT